GATGCTCGAGATCTTTAGATTCCTCGTTCTTCCATTGTTTCAATTTTCGAACTATAAATCGTTCCGCTAATCGACGACTACGTTTCATGAAATTATCCGACGATTACTATATCTTTATTCGCGTACGATCTAAAACAACGTTATGAAAGATGTGATCGCACAGTGATGGGAAAAGGTATACTACTACCCACCACTCGACGACCGTTAGAGGAAGAAAAAAAAGAATCGCGCGATTTCACGGCACGATTTCTTTAGTAAATAAAGAAATTCCTTTTTTTTTTCTTTTTTTTTTTTTTTTTTCTTTTTGATACAAAAATAGATAGATCTCGATTACGTGGATTACGTAGTCTCGTGTCAGAACATTTGGGATATACCAAAAAAAAAAAAAAAATTGATCAGTGAAATTGGAGAAATTTTTATTTTCTGAGATCGATATATTGTCCTATACAAACAGAACGCAATTTATCATTAATCGTTTTGGATTTTTCGATAAATTAAAATCATCGAAATCGGTTGAAATCGTCACTTTGTCACGCGAATCGTTGGTTGGAAAAGAAAAAAAAAAAGTCATCTTGACGAACAGGGGAATCGTAACACGTAACGAGGTGCGTGTGATTCTAGAATTGAATCGAATCGAATAAGAGAAGAGCGGTGGGATATTGACGAGATTACGTAAATTCGTGGATAGAAGAATATGATTGAATCACTCGTTGAATAAAGGAGGCGAGAATTACGTTACGATAATCGCTTATTTATTGGAACACGTAATTAATACGCTCGATTGTTTTCTTTTCCTTTTCTCTCTTCTTCTTTCGAAATTCACGAACTCGTATCCTTTGTCCGCCAACGGACGATCATCGGAGGACAAAGGAGGCAAAGGTTTTTTTAAAATGGAAGATCGTTACGAGCGAGAGATAACAAAGGTCCCGAATGGAAGGGTACGAGTCCGTGTGCGTGCGCGCTATGTTAACGTGTACGCTTTGTTCTCGAAGAGTGAAAAAATTCATCGAGGATGGTTGCTAATGTGTAGAGTTAATGTTCCAAGCGAAACGCACTCGTAAACTCGAACAGTTTCGATTGTCGAACGGTTCCACTGTCACTGTCGAGTCGCGAACGTGAAACGTGTGTGTCTATATATATATATATATATTAGAAAAAAAGGGGACGCTCGTAAAAATTAACGAGCCAGTCAACTTGTATATATATGTATACATATGTGTGTGTCTGTGTGTATATGTATGTATATATATATATTTATATATATATATATCTACGACAATTACGCTTAATTAATCGACAAGTAATAATTAATCCTACTATCGAGCGTCGGCATGGCAACCGACCGAAAAAAAGAGAGATCGAGGAGGAAAAAATTTTTCGCGACTTTGCAAAATCGATCGAACGTTTCGTTCGTCGTTTCATTGTTTTCGTCCTCGATGACGCGAGCCGAAACGAGCTCGATAGAAAAGGCGTATATCACCGGAGCGAGGATTTCAGGCACGAGAAGAGCTTCATCGAGGAATACCGAAGCATCGCCCTTTCGTCGTTTCGAGCGAACAACTCGAATCGAATCAACGAATCGAAAAAAGCGAGGAAAATACGAGGTGTGTGCCGGTGATGAAATAACCGTTCCACTGTCTTTCCACTGCCTATACTCGCTTCGTTCGATCGATAACAACGAGGCAAGAATAACTCGATTCGATCGACCGTACCGTCGATCATCCTAGCATTATCCTAATCGTCTGTACGTGTTTTTTTTTCTTCTTTTTTTTTCTCTCTTTTTTCGCAAACAACAACGTCAATATTGTTGCAGTTCCTCACGTCATATAAAATTACTTACGATCGTTATAATCTCACTACCACCGTCAAGCTCACCGAGCACGTTCTTGGAAGTGAATAAATGGCATTCAGAAGAAAACGCGCTTCGAGTTCGTGCTTCGATAACCAATTAATTTAGCGAGGAGCAAATATACGATACATATATATATCGTATAATTTTTCTCCGTATATAGGCACACGTTATACATACGTATAAGCATTATACCTGTATGGAAATGTGTGGGACTAGAAATCGAACGTTTGTTACCGTTCGTTAAAATTTTTTTTACCCGTGTCCGCAAAAAAAAAAAAAAAAGTTAATTCGCTTAATTATCTTAACTAGCTGGAAAGATTACATAAGAGAAAATCGTTTAATTAAACGAAATTAATTCGCGGATTGAAATTTAATAAATTCGTATAACACGTATATAACAATTCGCGATTATTTCTATAAGTTAGAGAATATATCTAATAATAGTAATAATAATAATAATAATAATAATAATAACAACAACAACAACAACAATAATAATAATAATAAATCATAATAACAATAGGAATATAATTCATTTGTTCAATATGTATAATTTACACAGTCGCGTGTATGTGTACGTGTGTGTACGTGTACGTGTATATACGTGTCCCGGAAAATAATCGAAGAAAACGTATCGAGGAGGGTGGGGGGAGGGGGGAGGAGAAGAACGAGAAGGGCAATATATTGGGAAATATATTTTCCGATAAAAACGCTGAAAGGAAGCGCGACGTTTTCCATTCAACGATTTGCGATCGTAATTTATTTTCTCCTCTTTTTTTCTTTTCTCGTACCACCCGATTTCTCGTACCTTCCGATTTTTCGCCCCGTTTCGTTTCATCGGGCGAATCCAACGCGATAACCGACGCGATACGAGGGATCCGATCTCTGAGATTATTAAAGATTACAAAGTGAAAAGTTCTTTTTTTTTTTTTTTTTTTTTTTTTTTTTTTTTTTTTTT